GTAGCCTAGTAGGAATGTGACCCTTGTCTGCCTTTCCACTTTCATGGCTCACCACTCCAGGCTCAAACACCGAGGTCCAGCCATCCTATTTTGTTCACTTCCTTCAGTGTTTATGCTATGACCTAGGGACTTTCCCTCGGCCCTTTCCTCTCCCGAATATTTCCCCCACCCCTCTTCCCTGGCCATTGATTCTTCAGGTCCCCGTGGAGATATTAACTAGGACAAGGGTTTCAAGGTCTGGGTGGCTCTTACTAAATGCTATTCTTGCTAAGTGTTAACAATTTTCAGAGGCAGCTGTAACCTGATGAGCTTCACCAGAACCCAACAGGATAAGTTTAACCAACTACAAAGAAGAAATCAACATGCAACTAACCAAATAGTGTATATAAGCAATGGCTAAGGCTCCCTTCTGGGAGACAGAGCTTTGGGTGTGAATCCTGTCTCTTTTACTTGCTGCAAGTAAATAAAACTACCTAACGGCAACCACGTCTTATTCTTGAATAGAACACCCCAAGCAGCGAACCCCTTGAGTTTGGTAACAGAGCCATCACTTTTCTAGGAAACATTCCCTGACCCCAAGCCTGGCTTAGCTGCCTCTCATCATGGCCCTTTTCAGACTGCACTTAGCTTGTTGTTTACTTATGTTTCTTTGCCCCCTGAGTCACAATCAGCTTGAAGGCAGGGACCCTGGCACCTGGATCACTTCATTGTTCTCAAGGCCTAGCATGGAGTCTGGCATATAGTAGATGCTCAATAAATATTAAATGAATAAATGAAAAAATTGAACAGGTGGGCATAAATGAAGACAAACTAAAGGTGAACAAACAAAAGCTATCTATTCAGAGCTTGCTATACAGCAAAGGAGTCAGCCACTATCATTTGCTTTTTGGCAAAGACTCAAAGGCAGGCAGAGGAGTGGGAAAGCTTCATAGTGGAAAAAAGGGAAGGCTTCAGGGATGCCCTGATTGGAGGCTGTTGGCATGGGGAAGCTGTAGGCTGGCTAACTAGAAGTGGAGTATCCCATGTGATTGGTTAGGGGTACATAGTTGGCTTTCCCTGGTCGGTTCTAAGTTGGAAGCATGGACAAAAATTAGGGAAGCTATTAGTTATTCATCAAGTTCTGCCCATTTGGGGTCAGTTGTTACAGAGGTTATTGTTTGGATTCTTGGGTTGGTTACTGTAGATAATGGGTTGGTTTCCTGGACTGGTTGCTATAGATTGTGAGTCAGAGTTTTATTTTTATATATGGTCGGGCCATTGCCCATTTGTATATTCTGTGTCTCGAACTATATTTATTAGCATCTAGTGTACCATACTTTGTATTTAGTGTTATATATGCAGTACCTCATTTATTTCTCACCATAGTTCTGTGGGGTAGTTATTACCATTTCTGCTTAACCTTGATCACTTCCTCCTTCGAAGCTCACCCACATTTTCCGTCTTCTGGCCCTCCTTGATGCCTTAAGTGCCCCACACTACTCTCCATCCAAATTCACTAAGGACAGGGGTTCTGGGGTTCTCTTCCAGGCAAGATTGCCATCTTCCTGGGCATGTCATTATCTTTGCTCAGTTGCTGCCCATGACGCTAGACTCCCAGTTCTGAATTTCTTCATCTTCAGTGACCTTCACCGCCAAACCTCTTTAGTCACACACGCCTTAAACATCAGGCACATCAGTCATCATCACCAGGAAAGGAATATCTCTGATAGATAAACACCATCATCTATTCTGATTTAAATAACATCCTACCCTTTTAATCCTCCCAAGATGTAATTAATTCTGGGTAAGGGCATTATGGTAGATTTCAAAATACTTTAAATTACTTTTTGGTGTTTCCTAAGATGTCTGAGAATGTTAAGATATATAACATGAATAATCCTCCCTCCCCCCCAAAAATCCTCTAAACATTATTTTTTAATCTTTAAAAGTAAGTGTCATCTACCTATACACACATCATTCTATCTGTCTCTTTCTAGAGGGAACAGGGAAGGGAAGAAGTTCACATTACATTATGTACAAGGTCAGACAATTAAGTTCACGAATTCATCCTAGAAAAAGTGCTACATACCTCATTGCTGAATATTACTACGGTCATCTTCAAAGTACTCCCCTTGGGAAGTTATGCACTGATGCCAGCGCCTTGTCTACTCTTCAAAGCAATTTTAGAACTTTTTTTCTGGGATGGCCATCAGAGCTGTCATCGTATTACCCTTGATGTCCTGAATGTCATCAAAATGTCTTCCTTTCAATGTTTCCTTTATCTTTGGGTAAAGAAAGAAGTCATTTGGGGCGAGATCAGGTGAGTAAGGAGGATGTTGCAATACAGTTATTTGTTCACTGACTAAAAACTCCCCCATAGACAGTGCTTGTGAGCTGGTGCGTTGTTGTGATGTGAGAGCCACAAATTGTTGGCGAAAAGTTCACGTCATCTAACTTTTTTATGCAGCCTTTTCAGCACTTTCAAATAGTAAACTTGGTTAACTGTTTGTCCAGTTGGTACAAATTTATAATGAATAATCCCTCTGATATCAAAAAAGGTTAGCAACATCATTGCAACAAGTTCTCAAACTTGTCAGACCTCATAGTCATAATTACAGTGCAATCAGAACCCAATAGTGGTGAAGTTTCTTTAAAATGAAGTTACTGTAATAATTTTGGAAGGTCTCCAAAAATCACGACAAACACAGTTGACGTAAGTCATGTTTAAGTGGCATGTTATGATATGCTGAGTATGATGGTTAATTTTATGTGTCAACTTGGCTAGGCCATGGTACCAATTGTTTGGTCAAACACCAGCCTAGATGTTGCTGTGAGGATATTTTTTTTAGATGTGATTAACATTTAAATCAGTAAACTTTGAGTAAAGCAGATTACTCTCCATAATGTGGGTGAGCCTCATCCAATCAGTTGAAGGCTTTAAAAGAAAAGACTGAGGTGCCTTGAGGAAGAAGGAACTCTGCCTCCAGACTCACAATAGCAACATCTGCTCTTCCCTGGCTCTCCAGCCTGCTGGCCTGCCCTGCAGATTTTGGGCTTGCCGACTCTCACGATCTCATGAGCCAATCCCTTAAAATTTCTATCTGTCTATTCACATCCTATTGGTTCTGTTTCTCTGGAGAACCCTGACCAATGCGCTGGGAAAAGGCCAGATATGCAGGACAAAAACTCACCTGCACAGCACAAATGAAGATAAACAGGAACCACCTCTAAATTACTTCCCACCCCACCTCCTAGCCAACAGCCTTCTGTACCTCTAATTCCTTCTAATTAAATCAGGCTCAGCATCTGATAACATTCATTTACGGTTGTTGTCTAAGAAGTTATTATACTTTAGCAAGTGGTTCTCAACCAGTGAGTGTGGCATCATTAGCATTTGAAGCTTCTTGTTTCCAAGTTGAAGAAGGAAGAGCCTTAACATTATCCTTGAATAAAGAATGTACCACTACCAGGCTAAGAGATGAGTTTATCATCCTGAAAGTGAATATGTCTTAAGCTTCAAGGTGGGGGCACAGCCAGGTTTTGTGGAATCTTAAGTTTATACAATTTGTAGGTCCCTATTTAGAAAAAAGAATACAGAAATATCTATCATTTGTAGTTTTTCAATGATATGTGGTCATATGAACACCTCGCTATGGCCCCACCCAGGACTTTGGAAGGGAGATGTAAAGTGAAGGGCGCTGAAGCTTATGTTTTATTAGCTTCAGGGTAAATCTGGCTGTGCTTCTGGGCTTTTTAGGGCAGGGACAGAAAAAAGGGTGTTGGCTTCTCCTGAGGTTGGTTCCTGCTTCGCTGGGAAGGAAAGCTGGGGCTGGCCTCTAGATCCAGAGTGTCCCTCCCCTCTAAGCACTGCCAGTGGGAGTTGACAGGTTTTTGCCCCACTTCCACCCCTTCCCGTGCCCTGTTTTCTGCCTTAACCCCTTGTCTCAGAGTTTTGGGGCCTATTTTTCACTATCTTGCACACTGTTTCTTTAGGGAGTGTCCCTTGATATTTCAGATGACAACGTGCAGCCTGTCTTGTCTTTCATCCTGCAAATGCAATTGTCTTTTTATGCTTCCTGAAGATTTTCCGCCTCCGAGGACAGCATTCCTGACTGTAGGGGAGGTGGTGTGATTGCAGCTGGCTTCACGAGTGGGCACTTTTCTCAATGGTCCTTTTGCCACATCGATGACCAGCATCTCTGCCCTTCTTCCTGTCTCTTCAGACTTCCAAATGCTGGGTTTATCTATCTCACAGAAGCAGACTCATGCTATTCAAAGCAGTGGCTTTCCAATTGTACCCAGGGGTAAGTATTTTGTATATTTTGCTTTCATGTATTTCACTGAGTGTATGAATTTATTAGCACCTCCTCTCCTCATTCTGGGAGAAGCTCAATAACGGATGACATTTTCTGCAAGTGCCGGGGAACTGACATTCTCAGTGTCCTTCTCAGCTCTGAGTTTCTGCATGTTCAGAACCACTGGGCTTATTTGCACCCCACATTTCATGGCAGTTCCTTCCCCTCTGCTCCCCATCAACTGAAATCGGATTGGGGTCTGATCTTGCTCCAGAATTATTCACACAAGACGCATATATGTGTATCATATATACTTTACTGAAAGAGTTGGAACAATGGAGTTGTTTTAGATCACAGCAAAAAAACAAACAACTTAAAATCATATAAATAGAACCCTTGTTTCTTACAACCACTTTCGGGAATTCCTCCCTTGCTTCCTTTTCCCCAGACTCAAGCCTCTGCTAAACTGATTGCCATCTCTTTCCCCTCATCCCTTACCCCCTCAGAAGGCAGAAGTAGCCTCATTTAGTTTAGATTAAAAAATAAACACAAAACAATTTCTTCATCTTTCTATACTTAGTATGAGTAAAACACAGAGAGAAATGAAGAACACAGAAGCTCTTACCATTATGCAAAAATGGAGCTCCTCTTTCACACATTTAAGCACTTCAGGATGTAGGTTCTCTCTCTCTCTCTCTCTCTCTCAGCCAGCCTTGCCTCAAATGGATAGAACCCTACCTGAGTCCCCAGCAACACTTCATCTCCCTCAATGTCCTCATTTCATTTCCTTCTCTTGAGTCCCAAAAGCTATCAGAAAAAAGCACCACTCCTTGTTCTCACTTCATGGAAGTTCATGTCCAGGAACCAAGAACATAGTGAGACAGGAAAGAGACAGACCTGGAGAGAACAGAGTGATAGAAGTGATTCTATGAGCTGGAAAGTTTACAAACAATGAAGATGACTCCTGTGATGAAAAGCCACATTGTAGATGCCAGGACGTTGCCATATTATGCACACAATGGCCACCCTCAAAACATTCATAAAAGGCTAGCACAAAGACAGATTCTAAACCTTAACACCACCCTGCAGCTCGGCTCCTGTCCCGAGTTTCTCGAGCTCTTCACTGCTGTAGTCTGTGGGGCATGGCTGGTACTTGGCACCTGAGGCCCCTATCCCGGAGGAGCAGTGGTGATGCCATAGGCTGCAGATGCCATAGACAGCGGCCAGCATGGCAGCCGCTAAGCCCAGGTGCCAGCAGAAGAAGATGGTGAGAAAGGCAAGGTCCACAGGACTTTCTGCTCTCCAGGGCTGCCCGGAGGGAGGAATGTACATTATCAGGCAGAGCTGCAGCAGCCAGTTGCTGAGCACCAGCCCCATCCAGGTCTTGAGCACCCAGAGTTGGGGCTGGTCAGGCACCCAGACCTCGATGGTGAGTACCAGGCCGACCAGGAAGGTGGGCACTATGAACAGGATGTGCACGCGGATCTCCAGGGCACTCTTGTTCTCAATGTGTGCTGCCATCAGCAGCGCCAGCACACAGAAGGCCAGCGCCTCGGCTGCTCGCTCCAGCTTGATATTCTGCTGTGCCTGGCACGACCGGCTCACGATGTCCACCATGCCACTGAGCAGGAAGAAACTGTACATGGTGATATGCTGCCAGTTGTTCTGGAATAAGAACGGCCGCTGAGGGTCCTCCCAGTCTATCACCTTCATCCGGTTGACTCCTAGGGGGTAGAAGAATTCGGGAATAATGCCCATCAGGCAGGCGACGATCTTCACTACCCCTTCCATAGGTATCCGCTGCCACCACCTGTGTCCTCGCTTCTCCCTTGGGGGCAGAGGAGGCCTGAGGAACCTCTGTCCCCGTAGCAGGGCCAAGGATACCAGCACTGCGTAGTAGAGTGAGAAGACGAGGAAGAACATCGCTGGTAGCAGGTGTCCCTTGAGGCTACCCATGGTCTCCGTGCGTGTCAGGCCAACAGGGCAAGAGCTGGCAGGTGAGCGGCAACCTTATGGGGCTCTCCTCACAAGCAAGAGTGACTGCTTTTGAGTGGTGGAGAGCTCCCTGTTCCAGCCCCACCCCAGCCTCCCACACGCAGAAAGGCATACCTCTGTGCTGGAAGTCCCTGAGCCACTCCCAAGTGGATCTTGTCTAGTGATGTGTCACTTCACCTCACTCTGCTCCTCACGTAGGTTGTCTAGGCCTGAGATTGCCACCTCTGCACCTCACGGCAGGCACTGCACTGGTTTACCCTTTTTCTCACCTCCCTTCTACCTCACCCCTCAACAAAGAGACAGGAGGAAAAGAGTTAAGTTGCTCCAACAAAATGGGGTGGTGGCCGACTCTTTTATGACTGTCTCTTGGTGCCACTCGCATTGCATTTTTTGTTTCATTTAAATCCCTCAACAACTCTATGAGGGAGTTATTGTTAAGCAAATTTTACAGGTGACATCAAGGCTCAGAGGGGTGAAGGGATGCACACAGGTAACACACTTACTTAGCAGCCAGCACAGCAGAGCCAGGAAAGGGTCCAAGTCTATTCATCTGTTTATAAAGTCCACAGTTTGTGCAAAGCAAAATGACTGACTCTCAGTTCCAACACTCAACAAGTCACATGACTATGGGCAAGTTACTTTGTGTTCTTGAGCCTCAGTTTCCTGATCTTTAGAATGGGAACAATAATTATTTCACAGGTCTGTTGTGATGACTAAATAGAATATTGTATGTAGAGGCTCTGATACATAGCAAATACTCAATAAATGGTAATGATCATTAGTGATTTTACTATTGTTATTACTAACATTTATCAATTGTTAGTGCTAAATTCCTGTGATGCTAAAGTTGTATAGATATTTCTATGAATGACACCAAAGCTTGAATCATAAAGAAAAAAGGTGAAAAACTTAATTATATTTAAAATGTTTAAAGTTGTTTATTAATAGAAATTAAGTATCACAATTAATAATTTATTTATATATTAAATTACTGTTAAAATAAATTTCAAAAGAAAAACAGAATTTTACTCCATATGTAACAAAATATGAGTCTCCTTAAAATATAAAGAGCTCTTACAAATCAAAAAGTTAAAAATGAACACCTCAGTAGGAAACTGGATAAAGAACATAAAATGGCTATTCATCTAAGAACAACGATAAATGCTTAATAAACCTATGAAATTCAAGATAGTAAATCTCACTTGTAAGCAAAATGAATCATAATAAAATCTTTATGATACCTGTTTTGGACTGAAAGTTTGTGTCGTCCCCCCCCCCCCCCCCCGCATAGTCATATGTTGAATGCTCTAACCCCCCATGTGATGATATTTGGAGGTGGGAAATGATTAGGTTTAGATGAGGTCGTGATAGTGGGACCCTCATGATGGGATTAGTGCCCAAAAGGAGGAAGAGAGAATGATTGTCTCAGAAGAATGTGTATTCCATTGTTGTTGGGTAGAGTATTCATACATGTTTGTTTGATGTAGTTAGTTTATTGTGTTGTTCAAGTGCTCTGTTTCTTTACTTATCTTCTGTCTAGTGGCTCTCTCCATGTGCATGTGTATAGCGAGGAAAGACCATGTGAACACACGGCAAGAAAGTAGCTGTCTGCAAGCCAGGAAGAGGGCTCATATTGGAACCCAATCATGTGGCACCCTCATCTCAGACTTCCAGCGTATAAAACTGTGAGAAGTGAATATTAGTAGTTTAAGCCCCCCAGGCTATGATATTTTGTTAGAGCAGACCAAGATGACTAAGACAGAATTTGGATACTGTGAGGTGGGGTGCTGTTGTAAGAAATACCTAAAGGGCCGGCTGAGTGGCTCAGTTGGTTAAGAGCTGGCTCAAGAGTTTGAGCTCTGAGCAACAGTGGTTCGAGTCAGCCCGAGCTGAGCAGCCGTGAGCTGCCAACAGGTGGCAGGATGGCTCAGCTAAATTAAAAAAAAAAATACCTAAAAATGTGGAAGCAGCTTTGGAACTGGGTAATGGGTAGAGGCTGGGAGAGTTTTGAGGTACATACTATAAAAAGTCAAGATTTCTGTGAAGGGATATTTAAAGGTGATCCAGGTGATAGCTCAGAAAGAAAAAAGCTATAGAGAAGCCTTCCATCTTCTTAGAGAATACATAAGTAATCATGAACAAAATGTTAATAGAAATATGACTATAAAGCAGCAGTTCTCAACCTGTGGGTCGCGACCCCTTTGGGGGTCGAATGACCCTTTCATAGGGGTTGCCTAAGACCATCGGAAAACACATATTTTCGATGGTCTTAGGAGCCGAGACACCGCTCCTCTATCCGTCTCCATGCTTCAAGACAAAATTTCATTTATTTGTAATTAGAAATAAATATTTCACAATATATAATTACATATTGTTTTTGTGATTAATCACTATGCTTTAATTATGTTCAATTTGTAACAATGAAAATACATCCTGCATATCAGATATTTACATTGCAATTCATAACAGTAGCAAAATTACAGTTATAGAGTAGCAACGAAAATAATTTTATGGTTGGGGGTCACCACAACATGAGGAACTGTATTAAAGGGTCACAGCATTAGGAAGGTTGAGACCCACTGCTATAAAGGCTATTCTGATGGGGTCTCAGATGGGAATGAGGAACATGTTATTAGACGGTGGAGAAAAGGTGATTCTTTTATGGAAGGTAGAACTTGTGAGAGATGAAATTACGTGTTCAGCTGAGAAGATTTCTAAGTAAAGTGTTGAAGGAAAGGCTTGGTGTCTCCTGGCTGCTTGTAGTAACGTACAAAAAAAAAAAAAAGGAGAGAGAGAGAGAGAGAGAGAGAGAGAGAGAGAGAGAGAGAGAGAGAGAGTAAGAGAGAGAAAGAGAAATAAATTGAAGAAGCAATTGTTAAGCAGAAAAGAACCAGAACTTAAAGATTTGGAAAACTCTCAGTCTGTCCATGTTGCAAAAAAATAACTTGTTCTGAAAAGATAAGGGTGTGGCCCAACAGCCCTTTGATAAGGAGATTAGTATAGGTATGAACCACAGGATGTTATCAGCCACCTCATCAGAAGCACTACCAGTCTGAACAGAAGAAGACAGAACCACGATGAAATGAGGGAAGGCTGTTGGATTTCTTAGATCCTACAACACTAGACCATAGAACTATTTGGCTATGAACGTGTGTGTGCTATTCTCAAGACAAGGGAAGATGGTCCTGATGACAATTCAGAGATCATCAGAACTGGTTTCAAAAGGCAGGGACTATTGCCTTGGTTTCAACAGGCCAGACAGTGGTCACCTGGAGACTTGGGGGTGGGGCCACCCAGAACTGTGGGGTGGCATCCTACCCAGCAGAGCCATAGGGGTGATTGCCACCCCAGTGGGTCCCGAAGGTAGGACCACCACCCCAATAAGCCAAAGGGCAGAGCATCATACCAAAATGAATTATTCTCCAGCCTTAAGATCTAATGATATTTTGTCTTGCTAGGCCTTGGACTTGGTTGGCACCATCACCTCTTTCTTTCAGTCTCTCCCTTTTGGAATGGCAGTGTTACCTATGCCTGTCCCATGACTATTTTGAAGCACATAACTTTTCTGGTTTCACAGGTTTACACCTGGAGAGGAGTTTTGCCTGAGGATGAATCATACCTTGCGTCTCACGCATACCTGATTTAGATATTTAGATAACACTTTAGATTTTAGAGTTGATGCTGGAATGGGTTGAGACTTTTAGGATGGAATATATTTTGCATATATTCATGATGTTTGGGGGGAACAGGGGAAGAATTTTATGGACTGAATGTGTCCCCCCAAATTCATATGTTGAAGCCCTAACCCCCAATGTCATGGTAGTTGGTGGGGGCCTCTGGAGGCAATTAGGTTTAGACGAGGTCATGAGGGTGGGGCCGCATTGATGGAATTATAGAAGAGACAGAGAAACCTGAACTCTCTCTGCCTTGTGAGGAATAAGCAAGTAGGTGGTTAGGTGCAAAACAGGAAGTGGGTCCTCACTAGGAACTGAATTGACCGAGTCCTTGATTTTGGACTTTCCAGCCTCCAGAACTAGAGAAATAAATATCTGCTGCTTAAACCATTCAGTCTGTGGTATTTTGTTATGGCAGCCTAAGCTGACTAATACATTGACCCATTGGTTTTTTAAGAATGTGTTGTTTATTTCCACAAATTTATGAAGTTTCCAGTTTCCTTTCTGTTATTGATTTCTAACTTCATCCCATTGTGGTTGGAAAAGGCACTTTGTATGATACCTTTCTTTTAAAATTATTGAGACTTGGCTTGTGGCCTAATATGTGGTCTATCCTGGAGAATGTCCCTTGTGCACTTGAAAAAAAATGTGTGTTCTGTTGTGGGGTAGAGTACCCATGTATGATTGTTAGATCTAGTTGGTTTGTTGTGTTGTTCAAGTCTTCTATTTCCTTACTTATCTTCTGTCTGGTCATTCTATCCATTACTGAGAGTGGAGCATTGAAGTCTCCAACTATTATTGTAGAACTATTTATTTCTCTCTTCAATTCAGTCCATTTTTGCTTCATATATTTTAAGGGTTTGTTATTAGGTGGGTAAATGTTTATAATTGTTGTATCTTCTTGCTGTGTGAAACATTTTATTAATATATAATGTTCTTCTTTGTATCTTGTAAACTTTTTTGATTTAAAGTCTATTTTGCTTGATACTACTAGAGCCACTCCTGCTCTCTTTCAATTAGTATTTGCATGGAATATCTTTTTCATCTTTTCACTTTTATCCTATTTATGTCTTTGGATATAAAGTAAGTTTCTTGTAGACAGCATATGGTTGGATCATATTTTTTATCCATTCTGCCAATCTCTGTTTTTTGACTGGAGAGTTTAATCCTTTAACATCGAAAGTAATTACTTATAAGAAGGAACTGGCATTTTGTTATTTGCTATGTGCCTTATGGCTTTTTTGGACCTCCCCCCAACCCAAAGTCTTCTTTTGCACTTAGTTGATTCTTTTTTTTTTTTTTTAAAGATTTTTATTGGGGAATTGGGGGCATGGGAACAGTGCT